TGGACGTGGTCGATGAGTCGGTCTGTTTCGGCATTACCGCTTTGGGACCATTAGAGGCACCCTTAGACGCGCGGATGGTCGTCACTGTCTACGCGTAGCCAAAGGATGGACAGGTCTGAACCTTCAAGACTGCCGAGAGAACAGATGTCCTCTCTGACATACACGCAAACTCCAGGTCGAGGCACAAAGTAGTGCGCTAATTTGTACCCCGGGTAGGAGAGATACGAAGTATCAACCGGAGAGGACACCTGCGTCTCGGTCAGAAAGTGCAAGCCCGGCTTCGCCGTCTCGAGATGGTAAGACGGTGTTTAAGTTCGAGTGAAGTCCCCTGATGTTGCAGAAATTCACGGATTGGCAGGGGTTGTTTTTGAGCGGAATTTTGCCCCCCTCCCCTCCCAGAATACGCGAGGCAGCCTGAGCACCCACGCTCAGGAGTGAAATAACATGGTCGTGGATGCTCAGCGAGGGATTCTCCAGGGGTGCTGGTACACTCCGGGGGTAGTCTTTCGTGTAATTCCGCTACCATGTTGAAGGAAGGGTGGGGGGGGGGGGGAATCGGCCCTCGGGCCACCTGCACTCACCAGCCGAAACGCAGAAGCAGAGCTTCTACTTCACGCTGGTATTCTGTGAGGTCGTGGTACCAACCCGGCTCGAGCCGGCCCATACGTGCAACAGCAAAATCTGCCGTTTGGCTCTACCACCGTTAGCAAAAACTGCCGCGTGGCTCTACCACCGTTAGCAAAAACTGCCGCGTGGCTCTACCACCGTTAAAAAAAGACATATGCTACGCTGCGGAGGCAAGGCAAACATGGCTAACGCGCTGTCCCGATAAAAATTTTCCACTGGAAGTTAACCCACGAAAGCAGTAGGATATTTATTCTGTTGGTGTGGAGTGTGCCGAAAGATTTTTTTAACAATTTTCACAGTGACCACCAAGATCAAGCTTGCATTCTAGCTGTTTCGACTGAGGAATCTTGTCACTGTCACTGGTTACCCGATTTACCGTTAAGTAATCTCAGCACATAGCTTAATGGGGAAAGCTTGCGAATCGCCGTAGGAATCCGTCTAAGAGTGGCAATTTGTCAACCTCACCCGTGCCCCTGTGGTGGCAGCGTCGACGAGTTTGTGCTCCACGGACTTTCATGTAAAAATTTCAGGTAGGTTTTCCCGTCACGGTTCTTTAAAGGAAGTCATCCGAAGGGTTCTTGTATCTATAAATGTTCCCTCCGTTTTAGAGCCTTGTAGGATATTTAGAGACGGTGGCAAGTGACGCGACGGTATGACTTTGGTGCATTCGGGGAGAGGTAAATCCTAGTATGGGATGCTGCTTGCATAAACATACGGCCTTTCATATCAAGAATACCTCGTTTAGAGCCGAGGCAGCATCAGAGGCAGCTGTATTAAGTAATTGGCGTAAATATGAGTCTTTGAGAGATGACTACATATTTGTGCCATTTGCTGTAGTGACTATCGGTCCGTGAGGTCCACGTGCTATGAAGTTCTAAAAGGAACTGTATCCGCGACTGGTAGTCGCTGCTGGTGATAAGAGAGCTGGTTTTAATCTCGCTTAAATGCTTAGTAAAGCCATTCAGAGAGGAAATACAGCCAGTGTTCTAGGCACGATGCTACAGGAAGTAGAAATGTATGACAATTTTTTTTTTTAGTTTTAGTATTTCTTTAATATAAAAATAATAAATATTAGTGAAATATTTAGAATAAACGTTGTTTATTACTTAAACAGTTTATTATTTAAATTATTATTTTAACATGTTTGTACTTACTGTTTAAAGTTACTATCAAATTGGCAGCAAAAGGAGCTATTTCAGATGTACTCCATTTCCTTTCAGGATTCCTAAATGTACCATGAAGAGTACTTCATCTTTAAATAATCCAAGGGTAGAGACTACCATATTCACGATTTCCTTTTCCATTTTTTGCTGCCTTCAAACTGTCTTGTGAGTCTGCTAGGGGAATACGTGCAAATGTTTCATTGATTGGATTATCATAACTATTTCTATAAAAATTCCTCAATTCGCCTACGTTATTTAGAGCTTGAAAGTCTTTATTAATAAAAATCGCGCATCAAGGAAACCTGAAGTGTTATAGCGGCATGAATCATATAAGGCTGTTATATTTTCGTTCATTGTTGCATTCTGTTTTTTACCTAGAATGAATTATGTGATAAATAAGAACCAATTACAGTAAGAACCTGTAATTAGCATTAAGGATTATCAGATAACTTCTGTTTATATTTATAACGTGCTGGTGGTTCTATAAACAATCAAAAAAAGAAAGAAAAAATAGGATATATATATGCTGAGTGTTCAAGGAAAAGGGAATCATCAATTATTAGTTTATAGCTTTAATATTATTAATTTATCTTAACTGATCATTGAACATAAATCTAAAGGACATAATCTAATAAAAAGGACGTATGTATAGTTATTAATTAAACATGAAAAAGTTACTGCCATATACTCTGATTTATTTTGATACATATTTGATTCGACGTATATGTATGTAGGATTATTCACTTCCTCTGTGTATAAACTACAGGCTTGATAGGGTTAAATTTTAAAAGGTCATATACTTAATTAACCACCATAGACCACATACATACCCTTCGGCAAATTGTACAGAAGTCCGAGGAGTACACAGCAGACTTTGATTCCATACCGCCTTTGATTCCATCGAAATTGAGGCGGTGCTGCAGTCCCTTCAGCGGTGCCAAGTTCACTTTCGGTATATCGACGTGTTGAAGTGCTTGTACAGTAGGGCTACGATGGCTATCCGAGTACAGAACCAGAGTACGAAACCTATACAATTGCAGAGAGATGTAAGACAGGGTGACGTCATATCCCCGAAACTCTTCACCGCTGCATTGGAAGACGTTTTCAAGCTTCTGAAGTGGAAAGGATACGGTATCAACATCAATGGCGAGTACATCACTCACCATCGATTTGCCAACGATCTAACCAAAATGTACACGCCCCTAGTGTCCCCGACAAAGATCAAATATCTCGGGGCCCATCAGCGGTAGATTCGACGGACAACTAAGGGTGGGGCTCGAAATGCCTATGGATAATCAATATATATGGAATAGGTAATTAATTCGACTTACTTGGTTCAGAAACAAAGACTGGCCACAAGGCTCGGTCAGGCAGGAGGTGTAGTGTATGTAAGTGGTGTTTAGTTGTGTGTAAAATGTGAAACCAGCCTCAACCCTTTTAATCAGCAGCAGCCCTGACTCCGGCACCGCCACACGGTGTGGTATCCTCCAGCGGCGTCACCTCGATGTTTCTCAAAGTCTAGCATCCCTTAGCACAAATCTATAATCTAATACGAACGCTGTTTCTCGCAGGTCACAAAGTTTAGCGTTTTTAACCGACACAGGAAAATATCTCCGAGTTACATCAAATGCCACAAAGCAACTCGTCGACGCAAATTAATATTGTCAAAGCACTTCAACCGGCAATCACTATAAAATTTACGTAAATTACTTGCCAACGAATTTAAGTTAATCAATCAAAATATTACGGCTTCGTTATCGCGTGAACTCACTAAAGATAACCAAACATTAGAAGCGAAAACTCCAATAGTAAATTCTACGCGTCCTTTCGACCGGCAGTTGTTCACTCTTAACCTCTCGACGCGTCTCGATCGACGCGACCACGATTGGAATGCGGCCGGGTAGGGGCCGGCGGTGACCTTCGTACCGTGCTATATACGCGCCGAGTCGCGAGATATGAATTCAATTTTCAAAAGGTTAATTTTTGGCCTAAACAAACTCCCGCCCCGGACATAAGGACTTATGTCCGCGAGTAGATTGGCAAACGGGACAGGGTTGCGACGGCACGTTGCAAGACCGAATCTCCGACCAAAACCTCGGCCACCCTAGGCACCCCATCCGATCCATACGACAATTTAACAATGCGCCCACGGCGCCAATACAAAGGTAGAGCGTTGGGTTTTTTAACCAACACGAGGTCTCCAACCCGAGGAGGATCCGTCTTGTCAGACCACTTAATGCGCTGCTGTAAAAGATGTAGGTACTCCAGAGACCATTGGTGCCAAAAACTCTGAGTCATCTGTTGCAGCAGGTCAAATCTGCTCAACCGCGAAGAATTTATTTCCCTGAAGGGGTACTCGGGCAGGGCGTTATGCGGCTGGCCAATCAGGAAGTGTCCGGGGGTTAGAACCTCCAAAACATTCGGTTCGGACGAGAGGGGACAGAGGGGCCGAGAGTTGAGTACCGCCTCAATTTAACAGAATACGGTGGCAAGCTCCACTCTTCATTATAAATTCCATCACATGTCTTCTTCTCTTATCTTAAGCTTCCGAGATACTCTCTAGCTCTATAACGTGTCGATGTTTTTTACCATTATGAATCCCATTGAATTCATTTTGTATGTCTTGCAATGTTTTGCCTTTCGTTTCCGGCACGAAGAAATAGACAAAGATGGCTCCTATTATGCAAGTCACAGCAAAGTTCCAGAAGGTCCATCCTGGTCGAACCATGTCTACCACATTCTGGTACATATTTGTTACACCGAAAGCAAGAAACCAATGAAATCCTGCAGTTATAGCTGTGGCTTGTCTTGTAAAATTTGATGGGAATATTTCCTTCAGCATCAGCCATGGGATTGGTCCTACACCAGCTGCGTATATACTTACAAATGTGCATAGAGTAAATAAAGGTACCCAAGTATTATCAAAAGATAAGTAAGATGCTTTTAAATGATAATAAATACCTAAACTGCCCAAACTCACAGCCATAAACAGGAAAGACAGTATAAGCAGAACTCGTCTTCGGACCATCTTGAGTAGCGTCGTTGAGAAGTATGTCGAGGATGCGAGACAGAAGCCCAGGATGATTGCAGCTCCAGGTGGATTCAATGATATTGAAAACGTTTTAAAAATATTCTCAGCGTAAAACAGCACCGGGTATATTCCGCTCATCTGTAGGAAAACCATGAGTCCAAATGACACAATTAGTGCTTTCACAGAAGTCCTAGTGGTAAACAGTGCCTTGAAAGTGACTCGAGTTTTACGATAGTTAGAACGTATTCTTTTAATGACTTCATTTCAGATTTAATATCATTGTCGATCCCTATAAAGTATCGTAATGCAGCCTTGCCCTCACTATATATGCCTTGGGATACCAGGTAAGTGGGTGATTCAAGCAGAAAAATAAACGCGATGAAGAACGCTACAGGTATGCTGACGCATAAGATGCACAGCCATGACGTACTCTGGACCATACCTATTATGTATCCGAAGAGTACACCGCAGGCGAAATTAACGTGGTAAAAATTAGCCAATGTTAAAAGCAGGTGCTTTTCCGCGATGTTTTCTATATATGGTGGTATGCCAACACTAAACGCACCCACCGTCACACCACCCACAAACCGTCCCACGTAAAGACCATAGACGTTTGGACTGGATGAAGCTAGGATCCATGAGACCACTAGTGGTAGTGCGAGGTAGAGTAGAGTTTTCTTTCTGCCAAAGTGCTCAGATATTAATCCAGTCGGTACAGCTCCCCAAAGTGCACCAAGACAAAGAAGCGATGCTACCCACGACACTTCGGATGATGTAAGCATTAATTTTGGATGTGTGCCGTTAGTAGCCTCTGCTACGCGATCCAAATGAGTCTCTGTCGTAATTGTCATCAATTGCAACGCTGAAGAAGACCACGCTGTGCACACGCCGGCAGCAAATGATCCGAGATTTACTATGCCAGCAGCGATATATGGCAGAATCGCTGGAGGACCTAAGCACTATGCTCAATGACCTCAATAGTGTCTCCCAACGGATAGGTCTTAAGATGAACATGGACAACACAAAGATTATGTTTAATATCCATGTCACACCTATGCCGGTAGTTGTTGGGAGCACTAAGCTCGAAGTTGTTGATGAGTATGTTTACCTGCGACAAATAGTCCGACTAGGTAAGTCCAACTTCGAGCGAGAGGTCAGTCGACGGATTCAACTCGGTTAGGCAGCGTTCGGAAAATTACGGCACATCTTCTCATCTGGTATACCTCAAAACTTGAAAACAAGACTGTACAACCAGTGCGTGTTGCCAGTGATGACTTACGGATCTGAGACGTGGTCCTTCACTGCTGGCCGTATGAGGAAGCTCTAGGTCTCTCAGCGAGCTATGGAGAGGGCTATGCTCGAAGTTTCTCTACGTGATAAACTTAGAAATGAGGATATCCGCAGTAGAACTAAAGTGACCGACATAGCCCAACGGATTAGTAAGCTGAAGTGGCAATGGGCCGGCCATATAACTAAAATATAGCTCAAAAAACTGACAACCGATGGGGAAGAAAGGTTCTTGAGTGGCAGCCTCGTACCGGTAGGCGAAGTGTAGGGCGACCTGGTAAGACATGCAGGAAGTCGATGGATGCAGGTGGCTCGGGACCGTGCTTTGTGGCATTTCTTGGGGGAGGCCTATGTTCAGCAGTGGACTTGTGAAAGGCTGTAATGATGATTCTGTGAGAGCGGGGTCCTTCCCGTGTTCAAACCGACCCATTCTTGCTACAACTAAACTACGAATATAGCTGCAGCATGGCTCTAACACGTATGTATGTACCGTGGTTACTTAATGGTATTGTTATCCAATAAATCAATACTTCCATGGAGTTCATTAGTAATTGAATTATTTATTGCGTTGTTTGTAGATTTAGGAGTCATCGCAAAATGAGATCGAATTCGGTGAAATAACTAAACTCAGTCAACATTGAAAAACAAGATTTCAGATATTTAGAGCATCAGTAATGCATTGAGATAGCAAGCAATTTTTATATTTTTCATACTTAATTTTATTTTTATATTTTACTGTTCCAGAACATAATGAGTATTTTAACCGATGTCACAGTAGAAATACTTCAGGAGGTCCAAAATACACAAGAGGTTAATATGTGAAATATCATAAATTAAGTACTAACTTAACATGTGCCAAAATGGAAATTGAACCCGTAACTTGATTTGTAATCCCGATATTGATGAAGCCATGGAAGCAGTTATCTCCCAGTATGTGGATTGTAAAGTTTAGGGATAAAAATATTAGTTGAATAAAATGAAATGGTCTATTCAAACTTAAATTTTATTTCATTAAACATTTTATATCAAAGGATATTTAAGATTAAGTTAATGTAAACAAGTTTCTTTTAACAATTTCCATTGCTGCAGGTTGTATCTATTGGCTCCCCACCAAAATCACTCTTTACACCCTCTAAAAATCTGGAAGAAAAAATAAAAATGAGAAAAAGGTAAATACAATTACCTCTATTTTAATAGGGATTATGTTTATTTATAAAATCAAGCAGCAAGTATAGCCAATACTGAAATTGAGTATAAGAAAGAGGTCCATCAAACCCAAATGCCAAATGAAGAAAGGGAAGCCCGAAACTTAAACCTAGAAAAGACATTAATAAAAATAAAAATAGAATATTATAAAAAAAACGTCAAGTTAATGGGGTTGTTATAAACCAATTTGCTTAATTCCGCGTAAAGAAAGAAAATGATGTGTCCTGCCCAGTTTTAAGGGGACCTCCCACCCTCCTTCAATCGCGCGCACTATACCCGTCGCTGTTAATCCCAGCACTACCACCCCCAGCACCAGCACACTAGGCACGACACACCACTCTCGAAAATACGACACGTGTTTCGTCTCTACATGAGGCATCCTCAGGTGAAGTAGACTCTGCGGAGGCTGGCCGCTAAGTGAGCGACGAGCTGAAACTACTGCTATTTATACTACTTGCTGACGCAACCGCGCTCCAATTACGTAGCGGGCGATTACGTCATGCGATCAATCACCGCCTGACGTACGCCGATATTTGCCGTGGAATTAACAACAAACTACTGCGAAACGTCCGCCTACCCTACAACCACGCAACCAAACGCTGACCACCGCACCGTGAGGGTGACAAACGACCATGTTGCGAGGCTATATATCATCAAGGAGTAGGCTTAAACATGTTTAAGAGAGACGAGTTGGAAACATTTGTTTGTTCATTCAGCAGTGCAACATTACCGTTATTATTTTTTAATATCTCTAACCGTTCCAGCACACACAGTCATAGTCCTTTATTACAAGTATGTAAGACTTTAAAGGAGTGGTCATTGGATAGGCTGTGTCCAGTGTCTAAGAGATGTTTAGCAAAATGTGATTTATCGGGGTTACAATTCCTATACGCGGCTAAATGCTCTTTATAACGTGTTTCGAAGTTGCGACCAGTCTGACCCGCGTAAACGGCTTGGCATTTGTCACAAACAAGTTTATAAACACCAGACTTTTGACGAATATCTAACTTATCTTTATAATAACAGATATTCCTAAGTGAATTGTTTGTTTTGAATGCCACGTATACGCCACTCTGTCGAAGAGTATTAGCTATTTTTTCAGATATAGAACCTAAGTAGGTCGAACTGCCAACATATCGACGATCACTTTGAGGTTTAACCGCATACAGAGAATTGCGTACAACAAGTTTTTGTTTCTTTTTTATTACATTGTCAATGATATTCTTTGAATAACCGTTAGAGACCGCAATTTGATAAATCACATTAAGCTCTTTTAAATAATATTCTTTACTTAACGGTACAGTAAACAAAAGATTAATGTAACAATAAAAAGCGGCTAATTTATGTTGCCACGGATGAAATGATGACGCAGGAATGACCATGTCGGTATGAGTTGGCTTTCGATAAATTTGAAATTCATGTAACGACTTTTTCCTTGTTATTGTTAAGTCGAGGAAATGACACAATCTTGTTCCAATTTAAGCTTAAATTTAATTTTGTCGTGGATTTTATTAATTTTATTAAGGAAAAACATCCAGTTGCTTCTTTGTGCCAGTCCAGCAAATAATTATATCGTCTACATATCGATAATAGTATGAAATATTTTGATTGACATCTATGTGTTGTTTTTCAAAATTATCCATAAAAAATTAACAAAACAAATTAACAAAACTCCATCGTATTGCTGCCCAAAATGTTTGGTTCAATCAGCAGTGCAAACATCTTCATGTTATTCCTAATTACATCCAAATACGTTCTGGTACAAATGGTCGAGCGGCCAATGTTGCTATTTCTAATGCTCAAAACGTTTGGCTTAATGAGGAGTGTCGTCATTGGTTTGCCAATAGAGATAATTTAAAAATCCACCTCTCAATCACCATCACATCCACCAATCCAATTTACTGAACTTTCAGAATATAATACTTTATATTATATTCTGAAAGTTCAGTAAATCACATAATATTGAATTTAATATTTTGGACTGGAAAACCAGAGAACTAGATTCAATAGTTGTTTACGAGAAATATCAAATTCAGTCCCGTAAATTACAACGACTTGTATCCTCTTCATAACGTAAGCGCAATAACAACATACATACTGAATATCATCAATTTTATCCCCGAGTTAAAAATCTTTCCGTTGTTCAGTTCCCAACCTATGAGATGTCACTTTTACAAAAAGGCCTAAAGTATAATCTAACACCTTCGATTTCTCAAAAGTCGCTAGAGTCTGTGGCCGTGGACGCGGAGATGGCCGTTCTGATCGGGAAGGAAAATAACATTGTTAAAAGTTTGGTAGCGAAATAAATTCAGGCTGTACCCGCTTCTTACCATTGCAATCCGGAGTTCCCTGTTTTTAAGTCACTAAAGCAGAGAGAAAGGGACAATCTTATTTTTTTTATAGGAGAGGGGGCAAACGAGCATGCGGCTCACCTGATGGTAAGTGACTACCGTCGCCCATGAACAACCGCAACACCAGGGGAATTGCAGATGCGTTGCCGGCCTTTTAAAAAGGAGTAGGCTCTTTTCTTGAAGGTTATTGTTACTAAAGCCCACAAGGGCAATACTGTCGTTATTATGGATAATAGCGGGTATAGCCAGAAAGTTAACGATGTTATCCAAGGTGATGACTTTGAGCTATTGGAGTCTGACCCCACCAAAAAGTTTACTTCGGATATTAAAGTATGTATACAACAGTCATCATATATTTTTCTCGACCACAACGTGTCTCGCAGCAGTCTTGTTCCAATGAATCCTCAAGCACCCATTTTATATGGGTTACCTAAAATACATAAAGAACATGTTCCTATTCGTCCATTTGTATCATACATTACCATCAGCACCAGCTTATTTCCTTGCTTAAAAGTTAAACTTCCTTCTGCGGGAGAAATCTGGATTCAAACCAACTTACAGCCTTAAAAATAGTTTAGATCTCATTTCCAAGATTAAAGTTATCCGTATTCCACCCAAATCCATGTTGTTATCTTTAGACGTTGATAGTTTTTTCACCAATGTCCCATCCTCAGACTGTTTGCGTATACTCGCAGATCTCTTTAATAAACGTCGTCTACATCCCGGGGAAACAAATGATCTTCTAAACTTAACCTCTCTCTGTATGAAACAAAACTATTTCCGGTTTAATAACCACTTCTATCTACAAAAGAAAGGGCTAGCCTATTTTATGGATAATTTTGAAAAACAACACATAGTTGTCAATCAAAATATTTTATACTATTTGTACACACCCCTAGTTGCCCCGACAAAAGTCGACTATCCCGGGGCCCATAGCGGAACACTCGACGAGCAACCAAGGTTGGAGCCCAAATGGCCTATGGATACTTATTATTCTACACAATAGA